TGATTAAAATCATGATTGAAATCACTTGAAAAAAATCAAGCCAACCCTGCTTTGCGCTTACCGTGAGCTCATCTTCTTTGATTTTTTCCGAGTTCCGGCTGGCTAGCTTGAAGGAATTGCTCACAATTAGCTGCTCGTCTTTGGATAGGAAGGAACATTTGGCCGCCAACTTTTTACTGCTGTTTGCCCCCATGCTGCTGCTGCCTTGCAGTATCAACTAAGGTACATGACCGCCAAGCGATATGGACTAGTCATTAGCAGTCGCTAATCATAAAACGCGTGAATCTTATCAGACACCTGTAGGTAAATAACTAAAGCTAGATGGCTAATCAAAGCCGAGCATTTGGCCTTAAGGATTTAAATCAGAGAAAAGGCTTTGGTTTGGCTTGGCACTTACCTTTAGGGCTTTGCTGGCTTGGGGCCGATTGTCAGCTGACTAGATGAAGTCGATGACCTCACTTGGCGCTTGAGCCGAAGCACTGTCAGCCTCCCAATAAGCACAGCCTAATAATGGGGATTCTAAAAATAATTTGCCCAAATTGCGAATGCAGGACAATCGATAATCGCTTTCTAGGTTAGGCTTGACAATTGCAATTTCTCCTGCGACATGCTACCAGAGCCGTCCTTGACCACCATACTAAACAAATATCCCAGTTTTATTTGTTTGGGGCGCAGCAATTATTGTTTAAATTCAAATATCCGATTCCTTGCTCGAATCGACACCACGTTGTCAAGTTTAGGGTTTATCATATACACGGCGGTTCATAAATATGGGGCAATTCAATTAGTGACTTTTTTGACGTTTCGTAGACAAAGTAAAGCCTGTGTGTAAAGCTTTGCATCTGCTTTGTTTTAATCAACTTTTGCAAGGTTTTAAAAATATAAAAACAGATTGAGAAGTGTGTCATAGTTTAGTATTGTTTTATGTTATAAATGTCATCAGCTCCAATAAATAAACAAGTCTGACAAGTCTCAACTGTCACTCGACATCGAGTAATTTGACGTTTTGGCACTATCGGTAGTTGAACTCGTGAATTTTGTAATCATGTTAACAAGTAAAGGCCCGCTCAGACGGTGACGGGATTTGACATTCGATGTCATGTCACTGACAATTTATGTGTATTACGAATCAGATTTATTCAAATTGATTTCCTCATAAGCTAACTGGTCTAAAAAAGGTAATAAAATTGCACTTTTAACTAATTTTTCGCAGTGCGGAAAAACGTCTGTGCAAATGGGCTCTCCTCTGTTCGATTTGGAGATTTTTGTTTGAAAATCGTAACTTTTAAACTAAAGCATGGATCTGGAAACTCTGTCAAACTTACATAAATTGACTTTGCAAGTGGAACGTTCCAATCTATATGCAGCCGTTCTTATAAGCAGTCGTAACTTCCGAACGAAACCATCTTCCTAATTTAATTTAGTTTTTTTTTAATTTAATAAAAAATTAATAATTTTTTAATTTGATAAAATTTAACTCTATTTAGCAGTGCTCAATTGACCCTTTTTGCGTCAAGGCTTCTTTAAATATCCGAAAGAAATTAAGCGCTATTCTCAATCATTTGCTGCTGAAAAATCGAAGTCGCTCTCAATTTGACGTGAAGTAGGAAAGCATGCGCACGTTAGTTATCTATCCAGAGCAGTCTTTAATTAATGACCGTATTTAGTCCTGGTGCCAACCATAGAGAAAGTAAAATAATTATTTTACTTACTCTATGGTGCCAACTTGCACTTGAGAGTTACTTATCGAAGAACGACTTGAGTAATTGTTGACAGATGAGGTAGAAGCCATCTTATAGTTCCAACTCGAGAGTGCCTTGGATAAGTGACGGATCATAGGTTTCTTATGATCGTCCTGTTGGTACAAATGCATTTTTGACGGAAAAAGCAAATTTCTTCATTTCTGATAATTTCAATAAATTCTTCGAAGTAATTCATTTGCACAAAACACGTGCAATTCACAAACAAATGGTCAGAGACAAACAGATGACTATGAACCCTCAAGGGAACTATAATCCACACTCAAGTCATTATGACACTTGTCACTTGAGTGTTGAACGTCACTTGAGAGTCATCTATAAATACAGGCATGAGGTTTGTCGCTTGTAGCTCTACCGGTTCTCTGAACATAAAAAGGCCAAGATAAATTACAAATATTTATTCATATCATAAAAATAATCCATAAATTAGTTCTACACATACACTTACGCAACTGAGGAAATCTACGTGTGATCTACTCTTAAATTTCTCATTGGCCCATATGTACACTCGCTCACTCTCTCTCTCTCTCTCATTTGTGTACGATATATTACAGAGAGAGCCAATTATTGCGTTTGTTTCGCGCTTGATTTGGCTCAAATTTCTTATTTTATGTACAAACACACACATACACGTTTATCGCTCTAAAATGGTGGCACTAATAGGAAAATGCGCGGCCGGTCAGATTGGCCAAGCCGAGCAACTCCGACAATAATAATGAATAAAAATAATTAAATCACAGCTCAATTCAGTAAAACATAACATGAAAAGTGGCAATTAACTAGGTGATGACACAAACGGGTTCGAAGTTAACCATAGCTCGTCTTAGAGATAATGTGTTTGCTAAAAACTTTTCTCGGGTTTTCGTTCAATAAAGTTGGCGATTTTTCCTCGGAAGAAACCGGGTTTGCCAAATTTTCACCAAAGTGGGAAGTCGCCGTTAGTGAATTCCCGTTTTGGTGAAGATCCATTGCATAATTCAACGGAAGTTGAATACAGTACCTGTACAACTAAAAGTACAAAAATTAAACGAAACTAAGAAAAAGGGTTAAAGCAATAATCCAACTGTGCTTCCTTAGGGAATAGTGGCGGCGAAACGCACCTCCCCTAGAAAAATTGTTAGTAAAACATCTTAAGATAAGGCTATGTTTAACGTGGAACGCGATTCGATCATAAACTAGACCATTAGCCGAAAAGTGGCCACTGCTTATTGTTCGGCAAGCCTGAATCGCTTGCAAAGTTCAGTTCAATCACTAACGGTACTTGCTAGAGACAAATAATACTTAACAGATTAATGTATCGTTTAGTACAACATGGCAATCGTTCATTCATTTACAAGTTAACGGTGACTTTGCAAGGACACAGCAAACTGGTTCCTCGAAAAGCCCAAAGTGCCCAAGAGGTAGAAAACTTTTGGTACCTAATACTAAGCCTGAAAACCTCTAAATTACACTGATTTGTACTTACAAATGCCCTGCTCAGGCACATGAGGGAAGTCGCATCGGTAGTGAGAGAATGAAGGCAAAAAACCAACCTCACCTTACGCTTCTGAGCAGCGACTGAGGAAGCTTGGCGAAACATTACTGATTCTATTCAAGTTATGTACACGTTCGAACTACATATGTGTATGTACAATCGGCGCCTCGGCGTCAGCTGAACTATTTACATCGAAAAATTGCCCTCGAGTCGCCACTTCGATCTAATACAACACGAAATTGACTAATAACGAAACAATCTTTGGTAGAAATGATAAATCCAAGTACTTACATACTAGAAAACACATAAATAATGGAATTTAAACAATAATAATAATCATTAACAAAAAGCTAGTTAGTACTTAGTACTAGAGGGTGGTTGTGAGATCGGGTTTGATCAGTGCTGGCGGTTCATCCTTTCACTATGCGTGAAAAACTAACAAAAAACATCCACCCTGCGTGCAACACGGTGTCCCTAAACTATATTTAGAGATTTACCCTCAAACAAGGATCAGCAACTGATTTTTAGAGACACCCTATAGACCGTCAAGAGAGGAGGCCTTCGACTTGCTCAGTTGGCGTCATTCTGATGTGATGTAAAACCAGGGCTTGAACAAAACCAAAGCCCCTAGCAAACTTATTGCACTTAACTCATAAAGTATAGTCATTTGAATATCACTAGAAATCAGGTTAACAACAGCCACCCCGATAGGGTGGGCGAAACTGCAGATGGGCGCAGCATCGTTTCAGCTGTCATCAGCCAAATCGTTCCTTTACCAGAAACATCAGCTTTTTCTTGCCTTTATAAGCGACCTAAAACAATAATAGTATATTATATTACGATACGTCTCGATCGAGCACTTTTATATAATGTGCGAGGTATCTATTTAATAGCCTTCTTGACCGAAGAATATACAGGGTGAGTTTTTTCGATGACTAGTACAGGGGTCTCAGGAACTAGAGAAGTTACGAAGAAGGTCGACTGGGCAAAGAGTTGTAGTTTTTAATGTTCTACTCGAAGCCAATTTTATTTTTCTAAAATTTGACAGCTGTCAAGAGATATTTGAAAAATGGCATAAGACATTTCTCGAAAATAACTGTCATTTTTCCGTATGACACAAATTAGATTTTTTTTAAATGGCAACCACACTTGATTATTGCCTTACCGAATCGAGCATTTTATTACGATTTCTGTGATATATCACATCGCTAGGTTTTTCCGAAAATAAAGTGTCTACAAACACTTTAGACTTTTTCAATTTAGTTGATCGAAGTTAGCCATGGAAAATTGTATAAGACATACAGCATTGTTTCCATAGTAACAAATAATAACAGTATGCTTCAGTATTTATTTTGACAACTACGTTAAAGTTGGCAATAACCTTAGTTTAATTCAGACAGCTGCTCATTTAAAGTGTTTATTGCAAAAATCAAATCATACGAATAATAATTAAAATTTAACTCTAGAAACTTTAATTTTTATTGTTAAACATTGTCAAAAAGTCGAAAATATCGGAAGAATGATTCGATGCATTTTAATGAAGAGCACTGTGAATTTGTTCTTGCGAAGAGTCATGTTTTTTGATGAAGCAACTGTGTGAGGAATTATTGAGTTACTTGGTATAAAAACTTTCAGAACTTTTCATTTACTCGCTGAAATATCGTGTGTATGCAACCACTATGAATGCTAAAAAGATCGTAAAAATATCCCGAAAGATTAGTGCATCAACTGAAATCAGTTCACTCCAGCTAGGTAGCTACAAAAAGTTCTGGTAGTTTTAGTACCAAGACGCTCAAGACATCACCATTTGCCCAAAGCGCACCAGTTCGGTTGGTCCATGAAAACATGAGTGTTGCATAAGAAATTCATTGAAATCCA